AAGACGTCTGCACTAGTAAGCAGGAGGTCGTGGGTTCGAGTCCCTGCGGAGTAAGCTTTTCACAAGCTCTCAGACAAGCACTAAGCGTACAGTGTTTATCAATACATACGTTGGGCAAGGGCAAAACCTGTTATGAAATTTAACATCTCCCCAACGTAAAAATACATCTTGAAAAAAAGCTGCTAATCATTGGGTCAAATTGCTTCCAAGATCCTTCTGGTTGCATACATAATGTCATAAATATTCAGATGTCAGAGTTGGACAAACTAATACATGTCACATACTTGGACTGTACACGTTAGACCAAGTGCCATCAAAGCTGTCGTCATTTCCGCTGTCTCGTGCGTCACCCTGTCTCTGATATTGTGTCTGTGTGGTGTCCTGGTTGATGAGACCCAGGGGAAGCAGTGATGGATGGTAGTGGTGGACCAGGTAGCACAAGGCCCGACCATCGGAGAAAGCAACTGTGAAATTCTCGACCTAAAAAAGAACCATATACATATTAGCGAAATGAATTGTGAGCTTATTACAAGCCGTTCAGGGTGATGAATCAAAAACATGAAGTGGAAATTACCAAGTCTGTAGTCAACAAGATCACAAGTTCAACTAAAAGCTCATGAACAAGAAAGGACCTGCTCCTGGAGAAATGCTTTTTTACGTAAGTGGAGAAAACTCTCAAATTCTCAGACTTAAGACTTTCTTCAATGCAAACTGTGGTTAGATGTGCAGGACCATATGAAGCGTGTTTTCTTCAATGCCTTTTACGTCTTTCATAGTATGTACACTGTACAGTCTTTTTCCTATTTCAGAAGTTAACCTTTCCAGAACCACACACTTTTCACATGGGTTAAAATGACCTCATTCTGGACGGCATATGCAAACTGACTGTTGCAACCTACAATAAACGATGGGTTTTCTACAATAGAGAACTTAACATTGCCTAAATATATTTCACAATATCCATCAACTTTACCTTGAGCCCATAGAAAGAGCAGACTACTTGGCACCATTTGAGAAGCAGGCTGAGCCGACTGCTCTTGAAGTACATGTTGGGCTCATTGGAGTCTCGTCGGTTGTCCCCCATACCTAGCATCAGGGTATCTGTAAGGGGGAGTGTTGCGAGGGCATTGAGGTCCTTCCGGAGACGGAGGTTCTTGCGATGGATGGCAATCTCCTCCTTCAGCTGCTGCTCGTTCAAGAGGAGGCCAATCTATTGATGATGATGCAGAAGACAACATTTGGAGAAAGGCAAGAGATTAAATGACAGTTGAAGAATTAACAACTCCTAGCAAAAAGACAGGATTACCAAACCTGGAATGCATTATCACTTTCATTTATGTGTAAAAACAAACTGAACATAACCCAAATAAAACACAAAAAAGGGTTAGGCAGTAACAGCAAGTCCCAAATTTATTTTCTGACTGCAACTGTCAATTTATGTTGTAACTCTTATGTAATTGATGGAGTTTCTGCATCATGTACGGTGGATCTAAACTGGTCTAAAATTAAACTCTTCATTTATAGTACTACCCAAAACAAAGTTGACTCTGCCACTGAGGATTCCAGATATGTTAAATACAACAATCTTTTCCCCATATTACTCATGAATGATTCAAAAACTGTTTGGGGGGATTGTGACTTGAGAAGTTAGCAGGAGAAAGAAGAGGGGGGGCGATGTCTTTATTGAACTCGACACTTGTCACATACCTGAAACTGGAAGATAATCCTCCAGAGAAGTTCCAGTGTCTTCTCCCTGTGCCCATCAACAACGGCACGGGCATCCACCCCTCCACCTGAGTAAACAACAATTCTAAGTATCAAGCAAGGTGCATCTTGCAAGGTTTAAATTCTTCAGGATTCGCTTTGGAGAGATTTTGCCTCCGACGTCCAAAATCGCTTTGAAAACTCTCGTCAGAAAGATTTGGATATTTTCTTCAAGAGCGATACACTTTCAAGTGCGCGGCAGTAGACGGCTTACCATCCAGCTTCAGTGCTTTGAGCGTGACCTCCACGTTGTGTATCTTCTGCAGACGACTGATCGCCGGGACGCGGAGCTGGGACGACAAGGTCCAGTCATGGATCAGGAGCTCCACCACACGACTGCAGGGTCACATGGCGAACAAAAAAGAATAGTTTCTATTCCATTAATACTTGGTGCATCCAATTATTTGGCATCATGTCCTAAAATACATAGGATATGCTGATTCGAAAGTCCATTTGATGATTAACCATTTACTTGTTGGAGGTTATTCTAACCCCTTTACTGAAAGGGCACTGGGCTTTTCCCTCCGAGTACTGTCTGACGGGCCAAGATGCACTCAAATCTGGGGACATTTCACTGGGCATTCCCCCCTTCAGAGCACTGCAGTTGGGTTTCACGCAGAACAACCGTCACAGAACAATGGCTCTGTACAATACTTATCACAAAGCATACCGCGCCATTCGCAGGGGCCACTGCATATATGACCATCAGTCTGGCCTATGACGTCAAAAATCTTGTGTGATCTGACCAATCACAAGGCTTGTATTAGCAACCTAGCTGCAACGGGTTGTATGAGTGTTTCCATGTTACAGGGTGCCTTTCTTGAACATTCCAGCATATGGAATAAAAAAAATGACAACAAATTTCAACTTCAAAATTTGATTGGCTGTGCAAAAAAAAACTGATTGTAGACAATTTTAAGTTCTAAAACAAGTTTGTTCTGATGGGATTTAAAATTTGTCGTTGCCAACTTAAGATATTTAAGTTGAATTTGGACAAAAATTGCTATATCAGTAAGGAAAGGTCACTATGCCCATATATGGTAATACTCTAAACTGACCATTACTAGCATTACCATGGTCACTAGATTTATCTATAGCTGCCATAATATCTCAACGGCTATCACCGCAATCCCTTGCCCTTTGTGACAAGTCCTCTTGGAATAAACCTAGCCGAGAAACAGTACACCCCTGAAACTTACTTGTGATAGGAAATATGATAACTAGAGCAGTGTTGACAGGGCTAAACACGCAGTCAGCTTCGGACATTAATGCGCGATGGCGCAAACAATTCAGGGACTTGAAACATGTTAACCACTCACGCGAGTCTGACCCCGCATCGCAGGTCCGTGGCCAGCTTGGTGACGGAGAAGTCAAACTCATCCAGGGCCGTCTGCCGGTGGGTGACGCTGTAGCCCATGAAGCTGAGGTGTCTGGTCAGGTCGCCCTCTCCACGCAGGTACTCGCGGGAGAAGTGCAGCAGGATGTCACGGCTGGACTGCGGGTCGAGAAAGAGAAAAAGAATGATGGCCAAAAAAATAATTTGAAGCGTTTCAAAGAATAAATTATTAAACCTTGGACAACGTCGTGAAAATTTTAGTATGGAACAAGATAAAGGCAAATGAAACACTTCCACAGGCACATATAAAAATACTAAAAATAAAATCTCAAATGTCTAACAGGATGTAATAGTATGTGGTGGTTCCTGTTTGATACATGTGCATAAAAAGAAGGCTGATGTTTGTTCCTTTTGCAGTATTGCAGTTCCAATGTACCTTGAATTCCGAGTCTTTACAGAAGAGGCAGGGGTCGTGGTCTATGAGCCTTGTCAGCTTGGCTCGATCCAGGAAGAAGACCAGCACCAGGAACTTCTTGAGGGTGAACTGAGACAGGGCCTCCTCGTAGCCTGCAGGGAGAATCCTCGGCAGAGGTCACAGACTGTTGCGGTATCAGCTTACTATCAATTTTATTGGGGCCACTTAACAGGAAAAGTTGCTTTTTAAGTGTTAAGAATTAATCAGCTGGGAACCAGTCAAAAGTGATATTTAGCAGCGCACATTCTGGCTGGTAACCTCAGTCTTTTGGCCGAGTGAATATTTTGTACATGTTTAGCGGGTCTATGAAATGGCCTTTAGGCATCAATTGAAATTAGCAGCCATTGCAAAATTTAAAACCATGGCACAAAAAGTAAGAAATCATTGATTGGCACATCTTGTGCAGTATGTGAAAGGACATATGACAGAGACCATGACTTGCAAGCTCCTCAACCAACAACAAACTAAATCCAGGAAGGGACTGCTGTTAACTTTACCTGGGCCATAGAGATGGGGCACGGTGGGGTGAGCAAACTGCGTGGCAATGTCCGGATTCCCAAGGAGACGGGTGATGATGAAGCGAGACAGGCCGACCATGTCGGTGTTGCCCTGCAAGGGGAGGATCTCGCCGTAGACAGTCTCCAGGCCAATCCGGAGCCAGAGGGGGTTGTAGGACAGGAACAGATCCAGTAGTCTTTGCTTGATTCCTGTCCACAAAGTGAAACATTCATTGGATTGACGTGGGTGAGCAAGCTGTGTAGAACGTACAGTAGTTAATTGCATGCTAGACATTTCTCAGTTTGGCTTGGAAGCAATTTTGTTAAGTTAGAAGAATTATAATATTGCTGCAGGTTGCAAATTTCGTCAAGTTGCAAGATTATGAAGAGAACAGGAACCTAAGCCCAAACCAAGACTTCAACAAGGACCCTCTAATCATTTTTGGTAACATTCTCACATGCTTTATGCGAAGGGATTGCAGGTTACCTTAAATCCATGATAATCATTGTAATCCTTCTTACCGTAATCAGCATGAAGCTTGCGGTCCGGCCGGACTTCGATCCGCCTCTTCTCAATCTCTGCCTCCAGCTTCTGGATGACACGCACAATGGGCTCGCTCTGGAAGAGCATGCACGCCCCCCGGCGCAGTCTGTTGAGCTTGCGCTTGGCCGTGTAGGCCCGCAGGGACAGATCCTCTTTGGAGGGGGCCAGTGCAACATTGGCAGCCTTCCCCATGGGCTCCACGCAGAGTGTGCCAGCGTCAACTGCAAGCAAACGCGACAGCAATTCATTACAAATGCACCACAATGAAAACAGCATTAAAACCCTTGGTCAACATAATTTAGGACCTGCTATATGCTGAGAATCTATTTCAGAATTTGTGGCAAGATATTAAACTTGACCAGCTGGGGCCAATTTCATAGAGCTGCTTAAGCACAAAATTTGCTTAAGCACGAAAAAGTCTTGCTTGATAAATCAGTTAACCAGCCAAAATTCCATGTGATGTACATGTATATTGTTTTGGGATTGTATTTAGCTGTTTTTTGGTGAGCATCACAATCAGACAGAGTTTGAGCTGGTAACCTTTGTTTATTAAACAAAGTTTTTTCCCACTTAAGCAAATTTTGCGCTTAAGCAGCTCTATGAAATTAGCCCTGCAGGTTGGAGTTGAAACCTTAATCTTCTGCTTAAAAATGCTGACATTTTTCAACCACTCAACAGTGTAACCTGTCACGGTCAGCTGACATTGACATGACATGACCATCACCTCATCAGCAAAACTTGAAGCAGTTTCCAATTCAGGCAAGTTTTCCTGTAAATAATTCAGCTGTTTGCAAATGTTTGCAAATTCTCTTCACTTTCACTTGAAAAGGGATGCAGCCTTTACTTGAATCCATAGGGAAACAGAATAGACGAGATCATACTGAACAGGTGCCAGGGGAATTTGTCTACAGATTCCTGCAGGCTCTGTTGACAATCCAGTGTTACACCTGTTTCCAACACTTGCAAGAAAAACATCAAAATGATTATTTCCGAATCCTAGTTCGATTTCCTGACTGAGGATTTTGTATTTCAAAGAGGATCTGGAGTAGAATTAGAATATTGAATTTGTCACGGAGTTGTAAGGAAAGCATGAGAGAAAGAAGTTTTACTTTTGGTAGCCTTGCAGCTGGGGTCCTTGGGGCAGTCTTCCGGAGTCAGGACATGGTTCAGCCAGCGGGTGAAGCCTCGCTCTTGCTTCTCCATCCAACGCTCGTCGTAGAACATGTTCTTGGCGGCGAAAGGCATTGGGTGTCGGGGAATACCTGAGGCAATTTCAAACAAGACATGTTTACTTCAAAAGACTTGTCCTTTGAACGATCTAGTCTGGCATTCAATAAAATGCACTTACTACGTACAAGTCAGGAAATATTGACATTGCTTATCAGGTTCTGAAATTCAGCTAAAAAAAATAAAAGGACAATCCAAACTGCACACAATTTTGTAATGGCATATACGAGAAGCAAAAAAAAAGGTAAGCAGCCGAACCAAGGAAAAGTTGCATGGCCATTTACTGTGGGTTCAGTAATTAAACAATGCAAATGTTAACATTTTTTCTGCGCTCCATATACATGTACATGTTAGATGTGAAGTAATATACTACACGTGACATATCGACTGAGTGTGAAAAGCTTCCCATGTTACAACAAAATTGTGATTCCTGTTTCATCATTGCTGCAAAACAAAAAAACACATCTGATAAAACATATGTCTAATAATGAAGACTTCTCAATTAGGCAGCCATACCTGTTCCACTTGGCTTCAGCAGATTCAGCTTGGCCATTGGCACCCCCTTCATGGGACCTTTAGCCTTGTACTGCCCAGTGGGCCTTCCCTGTGCTCTGGCCTTGGCTGTCTTGCCGGACTTCTCTGCCGCCGCTGCTCTCCGCAGAGCCAGTGTCCGGTTCGTGGTCCTGTCCCGCGGCGGCGGTTTCTTCTCCCCTCGACTTTTGACCTCCTGCGCTTTCAACTTCTTCGGGGGAGACCCGGCTTCGTCTTTGGGGTCCGAGACCCGTTTGCGGCTGATCAGGTGGGAAGTGACGACGCTGGAGTGGACTTTGAAGTCGTCAGCTCCCAGTTGGGCTGAGTTGTCACACCGCAGAGGAGGGGATACAGGAATGTTTTCTGGAGTCATGGAGTCCAGAGATGTCTCACCCGCTGACTGAGACATATCTGACTTGAGAGGAATATCAGCCATCAGAATACATGTACCTTTAATCTCTGTGTTTGCACACATCTTGGTGTCTTGCGACTTCTCAGCACAATGTGGCACTGGAGGGACCTCTTTGGGAGCATCGACACATTGCTCAGTGATGCCTTTGCCAAAGACACATGGATCGCAGGGAACAGCAGTGAACTGTGGCTCATTTAGACTATCCTCAAATTCGGAGGGGCTGCTCATCTGCTTTGAGCTGCAACTCCCTTCTGCCTCTGCAAACAAGAAAAGATTCTTGCGTATGTCGGCAGGCTTTGATGGTTGCCGTGTGTCGGGTGCCTTGTTTTTCGTGACCGTGGTCTTTGCCTCAATGGACAGGCGTTTGGGGCCACTGCAAGGCTCTTCCTCATCCAATTCGGTTATGCATTCCTGGACACCGTTACCAACACTGGGACCTGCATTTTGGCTGATGTGTGTGTCAGCGAGAGTGGGCTTGGGCAGCGTGAATGGTTTAGCAGTCTGTAACAGGGGTGACATCCCACTGCAGACGGACAGCGTCTGCCTCTTCAGGTTCTCCAACAGGAGATCCTGGGCCGTCACCGGCATTCCCGCACCGTTGATCTCTGCCAGCGAAGTGTCAAGTGCAGTGAACTCCTCCAACGGGCTCCCCTCGTAAATGTCCACAGAACTGGGTGTGCTCAGATCCATCTGTGGCTCGTCAGCATCTCCAACCTCCACTTGAGCCGCCAGTCGCCTGGCCGATTTGCAGGAGTCAGATTGTTTTATCGGCGCACGGTTCTCTTGGTTTTCCTTGCTTGCTCTTCCATTTGAAGGCTGTGGCCGCTTCCCTCCCGGTACCTGAGGTTTCTCCACCATAACTTTGGGCTTAAGAATCATAGTTGGTCGGCTAGGTTTTAGGACTGCTTGGGGCTGGGTGACCCTCAGTGGAGCTTTCCGATGCACTGAGAAGGTGCTTCTCCTACCTGCTCCCTATTAAGTCATATAATAAAATTCAATTTGTTTTGTCAGAGTTACATGCGTACATTTTCTGGTTTTCACTTTTTTGGCAGTATTTCTTGATTTTAGCTCTATCCTTTATAAAATCCCATTTATTTTTTTCAAAAAGTAAGCAACAAAAGCCTATATGCAGAAGGGAAACTTGCACTGAAAAAAACATCTTCTCTGTTGCATTAAGGTCGGTTCATACTTCACGCAAAAGCAAAAGCAAACCTGACTTTGTGATGTCAGATCAAATTCAAACTCTTAAAAGTTGTACACATTACAACTCACCGAAATTTTGCTGCAAATTTTTCGTAACATCAAATTCAATTCGCTTTTGCATTCACCTGAAGTATGAACAAAAAAAAATCAGGCCTTTAAGTGAGGGTTATCCATTGGCTCATCCCACAGAACAAAAACTGTCTTCCTGGAGGAGTAGGTAGTTATAGGCCTACCCTCTTTTTAGGCGGATCCTCCGCAGTCCCCAGCAAGATGACCTGCAGTCTGAAGGCCCCCTCACACTTGAATGTCACCATCTCTCTGGCGTTGCCTTCCTCCTTGGGGGTCCAGGTGATCGGCAGCCTCATCAACTCGCATCCGTCCAGCTCCCAGCATTTCTCAGGGATGGAGAAGCCCTTGTTGAAGGGGAATTTCTCAAGGCGGAGCTCCTGAAAGGACAAAATCAAAGTTACTAATAAAATGACACGAAATGGGTTGTGTATTGTGTGGGAAGACTAAGAATTTTGGAGAGTAATCTGTGGCATATAATGACTACCAGTGGGTCCACAAACCTGAGGGAACTCGAATGGATTCTCCACCAGGAGCTCTCTGGTTCTTGTTGCTCCCGTCCTGACGGTATCGAAACACACCATCACTTTCTTGGTGAAGTGCGTCAGCTTCAGGACGGGCAAGTCCTCCTCCTCTTCGCCCCTCTGGAACTCTGGAGGGGGGACCTTGTGGGGTGTCCCACTGAACCACCCTCCACGGGACTTCCTTGGGGTGGTGTCGCGGTCGTCCATCGGCCAGGGGTTGACGGCCAACGGTGACCTGCTTTCGTGATTGTCCATGGTCTTCAGCTAGAGGCCTGCCTTTGTTGTCATGACAAACAATGAGGGAAATTTTCCTTCGGGCAATTTACCTGAACGGGTTGGAAAAAGTAAACAAAAGATGTGTTACCGGATCATCATGCTCATTTGGGAAAAATCACATGTAATCATTTCACCTTGTTTTTTGGTTTCTTTTGGTTTAATTGGCAAACAACATCCCTTTTCCCACGTTGCCACCTTGTCCACCTACAATCATGATGACCAGTAATTTTGACAAATGCAGTGGCTATACTTGAGTTATGAGTTATGGAAGTTTAGACAGGTTGTTAACTACATGTACATTTGTTATACCAGTTTAGTGCATTGGAAATGGAAACCAAACCAGATACCAATGGACCTCAGACTTTATTTCCCTTAAAAAATCTTCCAGGGGTAGGAATCTACCAAAAGGAAACCTGTAAGTATGCAATGCTATAACTAAAGAATTTATAAGAAATAAAGAAGTCACACGACAGTTGCGATTAACTGCAGGCACTTTGTTTCAAAAACAGCTGTTTAACGTGACTGACTGACAGGACTGACTAAAATCATAATCAGTCATTAGATATGACACGACCATGACAACATGACAACATACATGACACGACATGACAGGATGATTAAATCATGAACAATCATGACAATGATAGAGGAATACCTCTCCATCATGTCCAAGGGGATGTCGGACAACTCGACCATTAGCCAACTCGACTTTGGACAACTCGACCGTTGAGACAACTCAACCGTTGAGACAACTCGACCATTTGCCAAGTCGTCCGTTAGGACGACTCAACTTTGACAGAGAGACAACTTGACCAGTGAGATCTCTACACATAATACAGTCGTTTTCCCAGTTCCAGATAACAAAAATTATTCAGTCAGTTTGCTGCTTCAAAAAATCCTCAAATTCCAGTGAAATGTGGTCACCATCTACCTTGTGTGCTAGAGATGCTACCAAATCAATTTCAAATTTTTAACTTTTAATTCGGACGTACAGGATTGACAAAAGTGGTGACACTTTAGATTGGTTTCAAGAAAGTAACCACGGAAGCAGCAAATCCATTTTCAGCCAGAACCATTGCAAAAAGCTTATTTTCTAATGAAAAATGTTTTTATTTAGAGAAAATTTGTTGATAAATAAGAATTCAAATGAATTTTTTAAAAGTGAATCTTGCATAAATTTCGACTAAACTTTTTCAGCTGCACAGCGCGATTCATCAACGATGCTACCTCGTGCCGCACAGTTGACGAACCCATAGGTCACGTACATTTCTGCATTGTCTGTGCATTGTCTGTATAGTAAGATGAGTTCGCAACGTCCAAAGACATAAATTGATGGTGGAATCATCAGTCACCATGGTCATGATGGTCACCGTGGTCATAAATGTTCACGCACTCGGGGCCGACATACTTATTTCATAGGCTGTAGATACATGTATCTGTGCTTAAATCAAATAAATGAGGGCGCTGTTCATTTGGGAACTCGTTTCCTGAAATAAGAGAGTGTTATTAAAAATTATCTTTTTCCACACACTCTAGCTTTAGCATTTCTAGCTCCTCTTTTAACAGTTTAAGCCTGTGCATGTGGGGTACCAAAAATTTCATTTCAAATCATTATTTCTTTGCTTTGCAATATCCCAAAGAATCCGACCTTCAAAATGTTCCTCATCCTCCAATACCCCCATAAAAAAGAAAACAATAGCCTAGGCCTAAAAATGCCCAGGCCCACATGTTTAAAATTCCTGAACCTCCCTCATTCCAGCTTCCCCCCCGTCGGGCATGTCGGGTTGAACATTTTCAGAGCGAAGCTAAGTTTTTACGCGAATCTGTACAAATAACAAAATCAAAGAAGTATGGCAATTAATCCCCCACATGTAGTCACGGTTTTGCCCCAAATTTCCAATTACTTCCTAGCACATTCTCTCAAAATCTTGCAAATTTACGTGTATCGTAGTAGGCCCGTAGACCATTCACTCACCCGCCTCCTTTACGCGATGATACAGTAACTGAACGCAACGTCAACATAAAATGAAATA